TTGGCCATGAGAAGGAGTTTGGATTTTATTTTAAGTGTGACAGGAAGCCACTCGAATTTTATGAGGGCAAGAATTGATCTGACTTACATTTTAAAAATATCATCCTGGCTACTGTGGGGACAAGGGATGATAGCAGAGCAAGCAGAAGACCAGTTAAAAGGTAGTGTTTCGGGGAAAGGGGATGGGTGCTTTTCTGGAGGTAATGAGAAAAAGTCGGATTATGGAATCATTTTCAAAGTAGAGAGGATGAGTTTGCTGATAAGTTTGGTTGCAGGATGTGAGAAAAAGAGGTTATTTGGTCCGAGTAACTGGGTAAATGGTGGAGCCATTTACTGAGATGGAGAGCACTAGGGGAGGAGTAGGTTTTTGTGTTGAGGGTGGGAAATGAAGAGTTCAGTGTGAAATGCTTTCTTACTTGTCCAAGTTGCGATCAGGTAGGCAATATGCGTCTGGGAAAGGCCTGGGCTAGAGATATGGCTTTTGGAAGACTTTAGTGAGTGGGCGGCATTTTAAGCCATGGAAATGGACGTGAGTACTTCAGGAATGATTTTAGATAGAGGAGGAAAGAGGATGGAGCCTTGGCACTTCAATTGTTAGGGCTTTGTACTAAAGTATTTCAAATAAAAGATGATTCCAAATTCAAAACGTAAAAGAGATAGAAGTGGACAAAGCTACTTTGTTTGAGGTCAGTGTCTAGGTTCCGAGTCCTGTAGACTGAGCCTTCTCCACACCTGCCACAGGCGTAGAAATGCCCACAGGCAGCCATGTTAATCTTAGAGGCTCTAAAGAGCAAACACTGAAAAACCCAGAGAGGTTTCCATCCCTTCCAGATCTGGTGGTCGGCCATCCTTTCCTGGCTACCAGGCATATGTGTTTGGTCCACCCTGACCAGAGTATTCAAGGGCCCAGGCTGAGTTTCATGGTTCTGTTATGTAGATAAACAGATTTAGAGTTTCTTCTTCGTTAGATTTGATTAGAAAACCAGCAGATGGAATTATAGAATATCAGAGCTGGAAGTGAACCCAGAGATCACTTCTTCCAATCCATTCTGTTTATTGAGAGGTAGACAATGAAGCTTAGAATGAAAAAGGAACTTGCTCAGGGTAATCTCAGAAGAAACAGACCAAGCTCTTTTGCCTCTGCGTTCTCTGATCCATTGTGTTGTGAAACAAATGTGATGAAAAAACAGGAATTTTTCTGAAAAAATGCAACTGTACGATTTGGTGGAGATCAGTAGGTATCTGTCTATTAAAGGGTGTCAGATCTTCTGAAAGTCTATGCTAGAGGAACTTCTGGTAGTTTGAAAGTGAACTCCCCTTTCACTGAGAGTTCTTAGCCTGGGGTTCATGGATGGGCCTCAAGGAATC